AAACCCACTCTTGGGGTCATTGCAAGAGCGACCAGGTTGAAATGACATGGGGCTCGACACATTGCAAGAAAAAGAAACCATCCATGAACCAAGAATATAAGACTGGGCTCCAAAAGGCAGTAAGTAGTTCGAACATATTGCAATCCCAGAGGACCACCTTCAGTTCGACTGCTAGACGAAATCAAAAACTCTGTTGGAGAAACGTTTATGAGAGATCTACGAGAAAGAGAGAGAGTGGCAATACAGTTCAGAAGGGTCTTCATCGGGGAGTTAATTATACTGATAATGGTGTATTCAGAAGGAAGATGATAATGTACTTATTTTACAAAACAGCAGAAGCTTATGATTCACCTCGAAACGATACTCGAATGATAGTCTAAGATGTCATGAACTGCAGGTCGTAATTAAAACATATATGTTGAAGATAGCGATTAGAAGGAAGAATGGTATGAGGAGGAGGACAACAATGATGATAATGAAGAAGCAGAGGAAGTGTAGGATAGTGATAATTATGAGGATTGTGATGATAGTAATGACGGTATGATGATGATGAGGAGGAGAAGGAGGATTAGAAGATGATATTGATAATTTTGATTATGATGACGAGGATGATGATGGATTTGCAGAGATGATGAAGATGAGTAGCAGAATGAGATTGGGCATGACTAAAATGATTGGGCAATGTTTATGATGATAACGATGATGATGATGGCAATAGTAGGACACATAATAATGATGAATATGGCGGTCAGCGATGAGGAGAATACTGAATTCGTGAAACAGATGATGATTCCTCGCATTTAGACGTATGTGGCTCCAAGTCTTCCACAAGTGGGAAACGCTGAACAAAGAACTGCCGCAGACATGATAAACAACTTTCGCATATATGGGACACTGATATTGTTATTGGTATTTGCATTCTGCGCCATGGGCGTGCGATTCGTACAGTTTTTCGCGCCAATCAGCCTCAGCTGCGTAATCATGTCCATTCTGGCGATTTGGGCCGGAGCGTTTGCTGCAGACTACGAACGGAGCCCAAGGTGCTTTTGCGCTGTACACTAATCAGTATTCGTTTAAACTGCAGAAAGATTATTATTTTTGTTTTCGTCTGTTAGCAAGCGACCACAATTAATCAAGCGAATAAAAATGAATTGTTTTGGGATCAGTAGGTAAGGCATGCTCTTCAGCGGTGTAAAGTGAATATTCTGAAGAATTATTTTATCGTTAATTTATTTAATTTATTTATAATGTTTTTTATTAAGGCGTATTAAACGAAAGAAAACAGTTTTGAATTTCAGATGCTCAGCTGAAGAAAACATATCTCGCTCCTTTAACAGTTGATCACTGATTGAATGTCCCGATAATAGCCTGTTAATATATTCGTTTAATGTTCTGATTGCTGTATTAGGATTTGTATGCTTGGCGATCGCTTGATAAAGGTAGAGCGAGCGAACAGGGCGAACCTCACCGAGTTATGCACTAAGAACGATACCGGCTTGCTGTGGCCCTTTTATTGCAAAGTGGCCAACGGAACGACCACTTGCGACCCCTACTTTGTGAACAACAAGGTGCGTCTGGTTCCGGCGATTCCCGGCTTCCGCGGAGATATTATTACGAGTGTAACCGTT